ACTCTGTTTGTCGATTCCCCTTAGTCCAAAATTTCCATTTCAGCTGTTTTTTTATTAACGCACGTAATGGTAAATAATGGATTTCTTAAGCTTAGTAATTGGTAAGTATGAATGTCTAAAATTTAGTTAAGCCATGGAATTTAGCTGCTGATTTATGCTCTCCTGAAACCTAAGGTTGATCTCTTGGTTCGAAACGAGGAAAAAAGACTTAACGTCTGAAAACGTACAAAGGTAAATACTAGCTAATATTTAAGCTGTGTTTAAACTTATTTGCAACTGTACCCGGATAATATCATCCGCAGAAACAAGTAAATTCTAAGATTCTCGTAAAGTTCAAGATCCTGATCAATTCATAAGTTCAGTCAAAAGGAGGACAGGGAAGACAGAGCGTTAAAAAGTTAAAAGTCATAGACTTCCATTCTACTACTGTACAAACTTCTTCGCAGGCAGAAGCACAAACTTAAAAACTCCTTACCTTCACAAGAATTTCTCCGATATCAGTCGGTCCTGGCTGAATATCTGTCAAAGAAAACATGTTAAGTGTGACGATTTATACTTAGTAGACCAGTTGATAGCTTTTAGTGCTCATGAAGTTCAAAACACCGCCATTTCAGGGAAGATTGACTTTTGGCGTCTCCTTCTCCAAGCAACCATGTTGTAAATATCTCAAATGAACACGCAGTGCTCAAAAGATTGAGCCAGCGGCACATACACCTGTTTGATTCGTTGTTATGTAAATCGAAAGTCCAACATGGCGGATGACATTGGCCAAGTCCTAGTAGTCAGCTGTAGTTCGTTTCTTTCCCCTGAAGACATTATTCGTGGTAAAAAACTTTCGATATGAAAAATTCTTTCGTTGCAGGGAAGTAGCTAGAAATGTGTTCATTACTTATACGTTGTCTCTCGATCGTTTTAATTAATCCTCGACTTTATAGAATCCCATTCCTCCTTCGACAGAAATGTGTAAGACAGAAATTTCATCTCCAAAAGAGCAATCAAATGGCATTTTGAGTGCATACCAATGGAAAATAGAGAATAAGTATTATACAGCAGATGTACAACTCTGTGCATGTTCTGTGAGCTCTATCCCTCCTCAATGTGAGTTTGCTGCCAACATGAACTTCCAGAGTGTCATTATTGCGTTTGATCTTAAAGAGGTAAGTCATTAGTAGTGCATATGATGATATCTGCGTTTTAATCTTTATTGTTTAGTAGAACTACAGCTCAGGATGTAAATAATTATTTTTCCAGTAGTAGTGGCTTTGAAATTTAGCTTGTTTAAGACAATATTGGCCCCATAACTCCAATAAGTGTGACCAAGACAGAATTTCTCACTAGGATATCAATACAATATCAAGCAAAAAGAATGATGGAAATAGAGAAAAAGAGCAATTGGGGATATTATTACTTGATCCAAGAAATTTATAGCAGACACTAGGGAGAATTGCCAACAAGATTCTAGGAGGGAAAGGGTCAATGGTTTTACTAGCTAGTCATATTTGAACTCCAGTGTTGCCTCTTGAACAACAGTTTAACAAGAAATTTAAGAAGGAGGCTCCATTTATATGTGACAATCAGACATAGCAAATCTATGGACATGTTGGCTTTGCATGCTCATTAATTTTCATGGAAAAGATAATAATTATGTTTTTGTAGCATAAATGTACTCATGGACACAATGCACCTCTCTTAAATAGTGATAGTACAAATAGATAAAGGCTGATAGTTTCGAAAGAAACTATTTGGGGCTGCATCGGTGGGAGTAACGGAATAATTTGGATATATCAACAAAGTTGAAGTGGTAAATTGGCTACCGTAACGATTACAAAAACTGACGTTTCGAGCGATAGCCCTTTGCTCCGACGACGGCCAATTTACCGTTCAACTTTGTTGATATATCCAAATTATATAATACAAATAGGTTTGTTTGTAAGAGTTTTGTGTTTGATTGACACCCTAATCATACTATTTATGTAGTATGGAATACAAATAAAGATATGTAAGTGTATATCATTTTTATTTTTCAGAAATCAAGTTTTAACAAAATGAAATCATGGCTGCCATATATTAAGAAACAGGACCCCTCTGTGTTACTACTACTTAACTCTGGTAAAGGAGACAGCAGTGAAGGTACACAATTATGACTTTAGTAGTATCACCAACTATATTTTCTTCTTTTATTTTCTTACCAGAGTGAAATAGATAGAAATGAATCACTTGAAATGTGTTTTCAAGGCTGAAAACTCTGTCAATGAACATAGTAAATTCTTCTGTACTATGTAGATCAAGTTCACATGGAGAACAACTCATTACAGAATGTAAAAGTAAAAATTTGCTACCTTTGCAATCAGAGTTACTCTTATTACTCTGATCATCTTTTCTGTGTGTTTGAATTTTTAGAAATCTCTAAATCAGAGGTAGTTAAGTGGTGTTTGGATAATTCATTTGAATACATTGAAATGATTTCTGAAGAAGAAGAAAGTGAAGATGAAGAAGGTAAGGTGAAAGTATCCTTTCTGAGCCAGACATGTTATCATCCCTTTACATAACAGTGAGAAGGCTGTGGTGCAAAATCTGTTTGGTTGAGAACTAGTTAGAAAGGAAATCTATGCTAGCTTGACTTTTCCTGACATTTGGATTTGTGTTCATACTCAAATAGTGACCAAAATGAACATGGAATTTTATTTACGTAATTCCTTTCCATATAATTAGAACTTCTTTGGACAAGAAAGACATATATGTACAATCTTACAAATAGTCTGAAAATACTTGTGTAATATGAACTTCATACTAAAGAAATTAACAATTGTACTGATTGACTGTAGATGACTTTCGAGAGAAGATTGGGATTGATAGAGTGGTTGAGGCTCTTCAATGTGCAGAGTGGCCAAACATGAAAATGCAAGGTTGAGTACTGTAACATATTTAGAATATGCAATAGTGTTAATTATTTAAGAAATAATTGACATAGTCAGGGGTTCCATTAAGGGCGGGGCACTGGGCAAATTGACTGGTTGTGAGGATGGATTTGCCCACCTGGTTTGACCATCTAGTGTAGAGTTTAGCCTAGAGTTTTAGTAGAGTTTAGAAGAGTTTTTTTTGTAAAGTTTTTCCAGCTGGAAACGTCAGTGAAACCCCTTCCTAGTCTTTATGGTTTCACAGCAAGCATCTAGGGAAAAGGGGAATTTTTCAAGATCAGAGAAGTCTATATACTTATATCTCTTTTAAAATCTGACATCTATGTCAGAAAGAAGAAATATACTTAGTTTTTGCAACAAGAAAGCTACACCTCTACTTGACAATGACATCCGACAATGTCCGTCAAAACATCCTAGGTTTCTTTCACTAATTTTTGTTTTGAAAATATAAATACTGCTGAATCATCAATTAAGATCAAGAGAATAAAAGAAATGATCGCCAACCAAAGAAGCTTTGACTTTTAAACAAATTCTCCTTGTCAGTACCAAAAGAAAAGTATAGAGAAAAGTATATATGTAGAATATATATACTTCTAAGACTCTGATGTAAGGTTGTAAAGAATTAAATGACTCCTACACCAATCTGTTTCGCATGTTCAAGTTGCAAAAGCACAAAAATATAAGAAAGTTCATCTTCAGCTCCAAAATTGCATTAAAAAGAAATGAGAAGTCAACTTTTCTTTATTTGAGTGGTAATGATCAATGTGTAGTGCGCAACACATGGTTTACCTTCGGGGGCAATTATCTCAGAAGAAACTCTCCTGCTGGCTCATCAAGCCAAAGGCAAAGCTTTAACTGTCTTTTTGCTTTTCTCAATTATCTGTAGAGAATTCACGGGGTCATAAAAGTTCTGAAGAGAACCAACAGGCAGATGTTGTCCTCAACAACGACGAAAAACTAAACAGCGACCAAGCTGCGGCAGCCGAGCGGCCACCAGGTTTGTTAAAAGAGGGTTTGCTTGTACACTTAATGATCCGAGTGGATTCAATTGGAAGCACCTGGTGTCAACACAATCAAGCCACGAAAAGTGGCAATCTGAATGCCTGGCCAAGCCACAGAAAACTTCATTGAAAAAAATTAACTTTTGATCTGTATTTTCCTTAAAAAATTTTTGAATGGCAGGATGTGTTTTCTTCCTCTAACTGTGCAAGACTTCGTTTCAGAAGAGCATATTTTGTTTACCAAACAAGTGCGTAGCTGATGTGCTGTTGTTGATCCCTTTTTCACACCTCGTAGTATTTGGTGATTCAAGTCATTGTTGATTTGTATAGGACGGCT